CGCAGCTTCGCCGGGTGCCAGCAGGGCCGGCCCCACCCGCGCCCTCCTCTCTGGGAGCAGGGTGCGCCTGCCCCTGCGAGTCCCGGGCACCCTCCGGCCCCTGCGCCATGCCCGCCGCCCACCGCACGCCCCGCTCCTTCCCCACCGTCTCCCACGCCCACCTGTTCCTCTCCCGCATTACTCACGCTTCTTCTCCGAAGCCTCCCCGGGCTGCATGTTTGTGGCCTGACTGGCCGGGTGAGCGAATGAATGGATTCCGACTTGGTGCCACCAGCCTACTGAACGCCTTTCAGAGCCTGGCACCCCGGGGGCGCTTTCTCCAGCCCTGAGACCCACTGATCCGTCAGGTCAGTGAGGCCCTTCCATCGGACTGATGAGGAAACTGAGGATCCGGAAGACCACAGGATTTGCCCTCGGCCCCACAGCTAGGAAGCCACAGAGCTGGGCCTTTAGACGGGGCTTCAAGACGTGGCGGTCGGTGGGAGGCCCCGGAGTCAGACAGGCCCAAGTTCACATCCCAGCTCTGCCAGGTGTTTGGTTGGTGACATTAGGCAAGACACTTAATGGCACCCAGTTCTTAGCTTTTCCTCTCCGTGAAGTGGGGGTCGCCATGTCCATCTCTCAGGGTGTCGGGGGATTAAGTGACATCATGCGTGTGAACCTACTTTGCAAGGGGCAGGCATCCATCCATAGCAGTGATGTCTGTGAAAGGCCCCGGGGTCAAGAGGGATGTCTGCTACGGGTGCTTCTGCAAGAGCGGCTGTCTCCCAGCAAGGAACCTTTGGCTGTTGCTTCTCTCCGTGTGACATGACTAAAGGAGCCCTGGGGAAAGGGGCCATCCGGAGGAGGGTTCCATCTGCAGCAGGAAGCCCAGCTGTCCTGAGTAGTCACACAAAAGTCCTCAGGCTTCTACCCCCTTCCCCATCTTGACCGCTCCCACAGGTTAGGAAATAAGCCATGATGCAGCCAAGGAGATGCAGGGCGCTCCAGGGAGCATTTTCCCCAGGAGACAGGTGTGCGTGTCCACAATAGGCATTGCTGGGTCCTGTTGGTGGCTTCCAAAGGGGAGCTTCTGGTTAAGACGACATCACAAGTCCAGCCTCAAGGCACCCAATCTGCTCCACAGTTAACAGCAAATATAGGTGAAAATTTTAAATAATTTAAAAGTGAAAAGTATAAAGATGGAGCCAGATTTAAAAAGTGATATGAAGATCTTCATAAACCAGCAATGGGACAAAAGCGTAAAGGTGTGTGAGGCAGGCAAGAGATCCTGCAGTCAGGGAAGGAAGAGTCTACACAGGACTGGACAAGGCAGGAGAAGGTCCATGGAGAAACAGGCTCCACGGGGATCTGCTCCCGCTTCGCCGCTGCTCCAGCAGGATGGGTTGAACCCATTTGAAGAGAAACAGGCCTTTGCTTTCTGGAAGCCCTGAGGTCCCAGGAACTGAGGAGCTCAGAGCTGGATGTGGTCCTGGAGAGCTTCTCTCTGGGGCAAGGGCAGAGGTTGTGGGGTGGGAAGGCCCAGGTCCCTTCACTCCCAAGTCTTCTCTTTCCCTGTTAAATCTGACTCAGTAGTTCTTGGCGGGGCCTGGGAACCTGCATTTTAATGAGACCATGATTTCTCTCTACAATTAACCAAGCTTGAGAATCCCCATACTCATTCAGACAGCCAACCTGCTTCGAAGTCCCCGGGGGTGGGTGAGTCAACAGAGTCTGGCCCTTAGTGTTCCAACCATTGTCCCCACTCCCTCCCACTTCTTTACATTCCCCTTCATTCTTCTACCTCTGTCCCGTCAATTGCTGATCACAGTCCCTGCCCTAGAGGAAGCCACACAAGGTCCAGGCTATCTAACCAGGGAGACAGACACTTAAGAAGGTAAACTGCAGCGGGGTGCTCCAGGGAGGGGCAAGCTTTCCATGGGATTCAGGAAGTCTCTGGAATGGGCCATGTGGACCGAGCTGGCAGGATGGGAAGACGTTTGTCAGGTGGGGGCAAGGGGGAGGGCCGTCTAGGCAGATAGAACCATGTGTGATCAAACAACATGGGGGGGGAGGCAGGCTGCATTCATTTCATTTGATTGTATTTAGTCTTTTTTATTTAGATATACTTTACATAGAGTGAACTAACAAATATTTCCGGTCATTATTTCTTGAAAAGTGTTTCTGTTTTTCCTGGCCCCATTTTGCCTAGAACTTCAACTGCACGTATGTTAGGCTCCTTGGTTGTGTCCCACAGGTCGCTGGGGCTCAGCTATTTTTTTTCAGTTCGTGCTCTTCAGTTTAGGTAGTTCCCCTTGCTATTTTTCAAGCTCACTGATATTTTCTTCTGTGCCTTTGCTCTTAAGTCTAGCCAGCGAGTTTTTCATTTTGGATAGTGAACTTTTCATCTCTGAAAGTTCAATCTGATACTTCTTTCTAGTTTTGATTTTTCTCACATTATAGCAAAGTTTTCTTTAGTTAAGCACATTTTAAATAGCTGTTTTAAAGTCCTCGTTTGTTAATTTTATAACCCCAGTTATGTCTGGGTCCGTTATCTATTGCCTGATTTTCCCTTCTGGTCATGGGTCACATTTTTCTATTTCTTAGAACATCTAGCAATTTTTGGTTGGATGCTGGTCATTGTGCCAGGACAGGTTTTTGGTCTGGATTTTGTTACCTTCCTTTACAGTGCGTTGACATCTGTTTTGATGGCAGACTAAATTACTTGCTTGATTTCAAGCCTTGTTAGGGTATGTAAAGTAGCTTTAAACCAAAGTCAGTTTAGCCCTAATGTCAAGAGGCAACAAGTAGGGTCTCTACTGAATGTTCCAGATCTTCAATGAGGTCTCTTCACTTTAGCTGATCATAACCTAAATATCTCCCCACGTTATGTGAACTCTGGGAATTGTTTCACTTACATCTAGCAGTTTTTTGTTTTGGTTTTGAGGCTTTTGGGGTTGTTTTTTGTGGTTTTTTTTTGGACCAGGCTCATAGAATTTCAGTTTATGTATGCAGAGCTTAGAACTTAATTTTGGACTTAAAGTAATGCACACTTTCGACGTACAATTGTAATTTCCTTAGCTTTCTCAAACTATGATCTCTGTCTCCTAAGCTCAGGAGGAGATATCAAGTAGGTGGTTGGATATATGGGGTTCAGAGGAAAGGTCTGGGCTGGAGATTAAAAATAAGTGAGCTCTCCCAAGGACAGCTTGCCATGCTCTCCTTGAGTTTCCTTCTCTGTGTCTAGAAAGTGCCTTCAGGCAGAAAACTGGGACAGTCATAGGGTTTACCTCATTTGTTTCCCTTCTCTGCCTGTGTTGTCTAATATCTGAATTGTTTCACACATTTTTTCAGTGTCTTAATCATTTTATAAATTTTTCTAACTATTTAAAAGTCCAACATCAGTTATTTTGTTTTGGCCAGAAGTGTAAGTCAACTCGAATTTTATATATGTATATCCCTGTGAACTATCACCTTAATTAACCCTAAAAGACCCTGAAAGAACCTCTCATGCTTATTTATGGTTAGTATCAACCCCCAGGGGTAAACCGCTCATTTATATTTCCGTCCATCAATTTACTCAGTCATTCATCAAACACTGACTGGGCCCTTAGTACTGGCCATACAGTGACGTGCAGGCAGAACAAGATGGGCAACTGCCTTGACTCATTGAATTTTCAGTCACACAAATAAATGTGAGATTAAGACAGTGGTGTTTCACTAAGAGGGGATATCGAGTAGGTGGTTAGATATATGGAGCTCAGCGGAAAGGCCTGGGCTGGAGATTAAAAGAAGTGATTTGCATTTTTTAGTAATGCAGCAGTGGGTGGCGGTGATGAGATGCACTCATGAGAGGAGAGATTCAAGCGAGGAGAGTCCTGTGTGTGATGGGTGCTGAGGCCCACGGGGGCGGGGCGGGAGGAGAGAAACCGGCCAAGGTGACGAAGGAGGGACAGAGGGAGGAGAAATCCAGGCGAGCATGGCGCCACAGGCAGGGGGCCTGCGTAAGGAGCTGAGTGGCCTCTAGTGCCAGGTGCTACTGAAAAGTCGGTAAGACGAGAGCCTAGACATGTCCGTGGGCTGGGCCCATTTCTCTGGACTCAGGACCCAGGGAGGAGAGGGCAGGGAGTGCGTGGGAGGTGAGCCACGGAAGCCATGGATACGCGGCTCTCAGATGTGGCGGGGAGGGGGGGGGAGATAGGCAGCAGTTGCCTGGCTGGTATGGCTCAGTTGGTTGGGCGTCGCCCCGTGTACCGTAAGGCTGCGGGTTGGATTCCCAGGCGGGGTGAACGCCCAGGTTGCAGGCTGATTCCTGGCAGGGGGCAGCCCATTGACATTTCACTCTCACATTGATGTTTCTCTCTCCCTCCCTCTCCCTTCCTCTCTCTCTAAAAATATAAAAATCTTTTTTAAAAAGATAGTGTAGTAGCTAGAAGGGAACGAGATTTTTATTGTGATTTGACTGGATGGGCAAGACCTGGACATCTTTAAAAGCCAATGGCAAGGGTCC